CCGGCCCCTCACCCAGAACACGAAGCTGTAGGTGAGCAGGACGCTCTTGAGGCAGGTGATCACCGGCTTCGTCTGCAGCCTGCGGGACGGGGACGCCATGGCGGCCGGGCCACGCTCCGATCTCCGCCGCCAGCACCGCCCCCGAGCGGCCCCGGCCGCGCCTGGCCGGAAAGCACTGGGGCGGCCCGAGCCGGAAACGGCCGAGAACTACCGAGGGCTGAGCCCCCTCACACGTCCCCTCCCGCGGCCGGCTCGCCGCGAGCCCGCCCCTCGCACCGCCCCCGAAGCCAGCTCGCCGCGAGCCCGCCCCTCGCACCCCTGACTCTAGGCAAACCCCCCTATCGCTCCGCTGGGTCCCCCCTCCCCTCCCTTTCGGGACAGTCGGATCGCACAACTCCCGATTTCAGAAACATCCCAGAGGTTTGCAAACCCTCCCAGCAAGCTGCGCTCTTGCAAGAGCCTCATAACCAAGTTAGAGGCGGTTGAAAAGAGGGGTTATTTATTATGGCAGAGGATGGCTGGATGCAGTCCTAACTGTGGGCTAAACTCAGCCGGGGTGTAAGTGAGTTCAGCTTGGTTTATTTCAACTTTAGCCTGTGGTGAACTCCCTCCCCCACCCTCCCATGGGTGCAGAAAGTAACTCAACTTGACTAGCTGTTTTAGAGCAGACCATCACTTAATCAATTATAACAATTTCCAGTCGGGGATCAGAGACGAGAGGGGGAGGCAGAGAGGCTGCCGACGAAGCAGTTGGCACTTACGGGTTCCTAGGACACAATAGTATGCCCTGCTAGTGAGAACACGGTGACGCAGCCTCCAGCTTCCCCAAGCGGGACAGGGAATTACAGCGTCTCATGGGGAGTTGGAGATGAGAGGCCATCATTAACTTGAACTAGTTCATTTAGAGCTCTCTGTATTTCATCTGGTAAGCAAATGGCAGCGAGTGCAGCACACACAGAGCACAGCTAAAATGCGTACACATCAGCCTACTGCATTCAGATGGGGGGAGGCAGCTCCCCTCTGGACTAGTTGAAGTTTCCAGGGGGCTTTCATGTTTAAGCCTGTTGCTATAGATCAGCTGAGAGCAGGGCCAGCTTTAGGCCAATTCAACCAATTCCCCTGAATCGGGCCCCGCACACCGGCGTGGCCCAGCTTCCCCAGGGGGCAATTTAAAGGGCCTGGGGCTCCCAGCAGGGGCTGGAGCCCCAGGCCCTTTAAATTGCCACCAGAGCCCTGGGATAGCGGGGGCTCCAGCTGCCTCTGCTGCACCCCCTGCCCACAACCAGCCCCTGTTTCTAGCCAGCCCTGCACCCCCTGCCCGCAGCCAGCCCCTGCTGCACCCCCTGCCCTGCCTCAGCCCTGCACTCCCTGTCCTGCCCGCACCAGCTCCGCCCCCCTGCCCTGCCTGCAACCAGCCCTGCACCCCCTGCCCCTGCCGCACCCCCTGACAACAGCCAGCCCCTGCCGCACCCTCTGCCCTGTCTCCAGTCAACCACTGCTGCACCCCCCTGCAGCCCTGCCTGAAGCCAGCCAGCCCCACACACACCCCTGCCCACACGAGCCCTGCACCCCCTGCCCTGCCTGCAGTCAGCCCTGCACCCCCTGCCCAGTCTCCAGCCAACTCCTGCTGCACCCCCCTGCCTGAAGCCAGCCAGTCCCGCACTCCTCTGTCTCCAGCCCTGCCAACCCCTGCTACACACCCCTGCGACCCTGCCTGAAGCCAGCCAGTCCACCCCACACTCCCCTGTCTCCAGCCAGCCCCGCACCCCTTGCCCTGCCTGCAGCCAGACCCTACCTCCAGTTAGCCCCTGCCCTGCCTCCAGCCAGCCCCATGTCCACTGGTGCCCTGCAGTTTCCAGGGCAGTAACCCTGCACACCTGCTTCAATGAGGGGGGCAGGGAGCAGCTGGGACCCACACATGTGCACACACCCCCAGGGAGTAGCGGGGACCCACACATGTGAAACCGAGCTCATTAATAACCGATCAACAGCATATATGACACAATGTACACAATATATAATTTTATTATTTATATAGTTATGGAAAGTAAATAATACATGGAAGAAATGAAAGGCTTTTTTTTACACGTTTTTTTGTTTTTGTTTTTTTGTTAGCACCCTACCGGGGCCCCGCCGAAAATGTTCGAATTGGGCCCCGCACTTCCTAAAGCCGGCCCAGGCTGAGAGGTCCCAGTGGCATGGATGATTGAGGTGAGATTTGCATTTGAGAGGACGGGGCACAGTCTCTTTGCTGTCTCTCAGTGAGACTGCTGTTCTGGGGACCAGTGCAATCATGAAGAAGCTAAGAGCAACAGCCCCGGACCACAGACCATCCCAGGTGTTAGAGTAGCTATAGGCTTTGCTAGGTCCTCTAAATGCTTGCCGATCAGCATCAGCTGTATCTTGTCTGGTTTAAGCTGCAGCCAGCTGGTTTTTCTGCACATCCTAGTTTCTGTCAGGCATTGGATGAGTCTATCAATGATCTTCAAGTCTACATCATGAAAAGGAGACCTAGAAGTGAGAATTATCACCAGCATAGGATGACACTGACACCAGCACTTTCTCACAGTCCCAACCACTAGCTTCATGTAGATGTTGGAAAGGAGAGGTGACAGGTTTGTAACTGTGGGTCCCCACAGTTGGGAGCCTTCAGAGAGGAGAAGCAGTCACCCAACACTTCCCCTCTGGGATCCTTTGGAACGCATTGAGTGGAACCACTCTGCAGGGATTCTTTCCACCCTGCCAGATCATTGAGCCATGTTAGCAATACCCCATGATGGAAGAGCACTGAAAAAAATCAAGCCATGTCATAAAAGACCTGGCTTTTGACCACTGCCCTGAGGAAATCATCAACAACAGCAATTCTCCCCCCTTTGTCTAGGTGTTTGTTTATACCACACTCATCATAGTAGAATCTGAGCACCATTTCTGGGCTGTGGCCCACTTCTAAACTGAATTGGATGGGCTCTAAGGATCCTGGGGATTTCAAATATTGTTTCAGTTGGCCTAGTGCAACCTTCTCAGTGAATTTTCCCAGCAAGGAAGGTTAGAGACTGGGTGACGGCTGTTTAGGATACTAATGTGCTCACAGTTGTTTTCTAGAGCATATCTAAACTATAGCTTGTTTGAATGTTGCTGGCAGCTTACTTTCTCTGAGAGGGACATTAATGAGTACTTTCAGTAAAGTACCCATACATTTCCTGCAGCCTTTCACCACATAGGATGGGCACAGGGCCTGATTGCCAGATTGCATACCACTTGCAGCACCACAACATCTAACTGGGACATTGTTTGAAACGCAGCCAGAGTCCGTGGCACTTCCACTTTGACTCTGTCACCCTCCAAATTCCATCAACTTACTCTGTGAAGATTGCAAACTACTCACAGCTAGAAACTGTTACCTCCAGAGCCAGCTGGAGGCACTCTGAGCTAGTAGGCAGACTTCTACCTGGATACGGTGACCAGATGTCCCGCTTTTATAGGGACAGTCCCAATATTTGGGGCTTTTTCTTATATAGGTGCAAATTACCCCCTGTCCTGATTTTTCATACTTGTTATCTGGTCACCCTGTAGCTGGAGGAGTTCCATTGATTAGGATTTGGAGAGGAGAAGAACATCTTACTGTTCATCATGGCCATGAAATAATAGTATAGAAACTACTTATGCTGCAGATGACCAGGGCCGGCACCAGCCCACCAAGCATGTGCTTGGGGTGGCGCCTGGAGGGGGTCGGCGCGGCGGGCCCCGGCCGGGCTCGCCGCCCTCCCTCCGGCGCTCCGGCCGGTCGGGGAGAGCGGAGAGCCCCGGCCGGGCTC